AAAAGAATACTGCTTTATGATTCTTATCCATTCACCGTGGAGAAAGGAATTATTCCCTTGCCACAAGAAGAAGCAACTCGACTGAGAGACGGTCATCACCAGAGTTTGGACAACTGAAAGATGGTACGTACATTTGACGATCCTTAACTACATGCACACGAAGTTAGCTTTTCCTTTTAAATACGCATGCATGATTGTTATCCAGTTGTTTTTTAAAATTAACTCAAATTGCTCAAAATGAACTTCAACGATGTAGCTGGGTTTGTGAGAAAGGGTGGGGCTCTTCTTTAAAGTTAGTTTCCACAACGTGAAAATCATTGAGTTTCTAATTAATGTTTTTGTTTTTTATCATCAGGAGTTGAAGGCGTATCTCCTTTTCCTTGTCTTGTTCGTTGCCGCCACATCTGCAGCGCGTAACTGTACATGTGAAGATGAAGATAAGGTAAAATCTTATCGGCTCTTATTTTGACTTGTATCAAGAACTTGCTTGTTCTGGTAGAATGCTAGAATATTTTATACTTCTCTATTCTAGTCTTAAAATTGCTAAAAAAACATTGAATTAAATACAGTCAAAGGCATGTTCCTTTAATTTGTGACGGTAAAGTAATCGTATAGTAAAGTAAATGTGAATGAGTCATAATAATCAACCTGCTATTTTTCTTCAAAGGAAACGTTGTCCAAGTACAAAGTGAAGGTCAAAGAGGGCGATGAAGAGATTGATGAAGAGGTCAAAATCGACACCGAGAAACAAACTGAGACTTTTCACATTCCAAAAACGAAATCTTCCAGCGCAGGAGAAGTGGACGAAATCTTCGACTTTAAAAGAGTAAGTGAATTTAAGTCTCGCAAAATGATCATTAACTTTCCACAACTTTCTTGTTTTCAAAACGTCAGAGTTCTAATGGAAAATCTCATTTGGTTAATTAAGATTTTCAGTGATTTTTGTCAGTATTCTCAGATCTTGTGGCTGTATAGTGCTTGGCCAAAGAATGGTGAGGCATTTTTTATTTGAACGTGGAAGGTAATCCGACACTGGATCGGTGACAATTACATGTACGCACAAATTTTGGCGCCATCTTATCCGGAACCAGAAGTAAAAAATTAATTGCAGTTTGATACCTTACTCGCGTTTTCCCGCACGTGAGGTTAGTGCGCTAACTTTGGATAAAATTTGGGTCTTTGTCACATTCCACTGTGTTGTGGTTGATGAGAAGCGTGATTAAGGTTGCATCGGTTTTTTGACATACAATCGACGCGTGATTTTTAAGAAAATAGAGGTTACTCTTTAAAACTGAAATATTTCTTGTTTCCTTTCTGGCCTAACCGTTTGTTTTTCCTGCAGAACTTGGTGATGCGCCGACTGCGTGAACAAAAGGCCTGTTTCTTGAGTGAATCAACTGAAAATGCTCCAAAGCCTAAAGACCTCAAAAAGGCACTTGACAAGGTAATCAAGTTTCGAACAAACGATGCACTAGCTTTATTATGAAGGTCGCGATAAAGCGGCCTTCCTAGACTTGTTTGATGTATTTCTGTTTCCTTTGAATTATCATCAATAGGAGAGTGGCAGTTTTAAAGATGCAGCGTTTTCAATCTCGATCTTTTTCTCTACTCAACAACAGAAATGTCATAAAAACAAACTCTGTGGTCGGAATGACTCTCGACCTTTAATTTCTTCCGGCTCAGACAATTCAAGTCTCAATTTTGATTTAGTGTAAGGATTGTAAAAAGTTATTGAAGATTTCATATCATATTATGATCTTACCTCTGTTATCAACATCAATCTTGAGCAAGGTCATATCGATGAAATGTGATAAGAAAAAATGTATTTCATTACTGGATTACTTTTTCAGCAAAGCGCTTCCGGTTCCTCGAAATCTGTCAATTCTACAGACTACGAGTACGAAGTTGTTGGCACTGTGAATGATCGTTCCACTCTGAGTGATGAAATGGCGACTATGTGCGCGAAGTTCCCCATTTATCGCATCAAGAAGAGGACGATCACTACGAGTGTGCAAAAAGAAAACATCCAAGGTATTTCATGGCATTTATTGATCTTTCGTTTTAAGCGTTTTGAGGGCGAAAAATCTAAAATGACCTAGGAGTTATGTATCGTAATTAGCTTTCGCTTTCTTCTTTCAGGTGGCAAAAGCAGGATGAAGAGGAATCTGTGCAACCGTTGCTACACGAGATACTATGTTGTGTGCCGTTATAATCCTGTCACGCGCCAATACGTATGTTATTTGATTAGGCGCATAATTTGCATCTTGGTTAGTTGCTACGGGCGCCGCTGAACGAAGGCCCACGGTCATTTCAAGAACCAAGNAAATATAAACAACAATGGACCCAAGCAACGGTTGACAAACAAGTTGGTGTACGCTCATACCAAGTTACCACTGACGACGGACGGGTGTATCGTAGGAACCGCCGACACCTGCGTCTCACAGCCGAACTCCCTAAACAATCACCTCTTGACATAGAGATACCTAGCTCCGATCATGGTCCCCTGCCCCTGACCAAAGTTGAACAGGTACCACCAGTCGTTGAATCAAAACCCCAAGAGGTGGTCAAGCCACAAGCAACACCGAACCCTCCAGCTGATGACGTAACGAGTCCAGAAAGATGTAGCGCTCGGGGAAGAGTCCTACGCAGACCAGCATACCTCCGTGACTATACATGCTGACACTTACCTATGTTGTTTACATTCTCCGAACAAGGACTCGAAGAAACGATTTAGGTTTTTATCTTGTTTATTCTTTCCTCGTTGAATAACGGGGGAAGATGTCACGATGTTAATTTATGTATGTTGAGTTCATTTATACAGTTTACCTTACATCTGAGTTCCCGGATGTATTCATTCACTTCGCTTGATGTGCACTCGTCTTACAAGATTAAATGTTGTGTTTAGAGTCTCTGGTGTTTCAGTCTGACTTAGCGAACACGTTACAGCTACGTTCTGCCTTTAAAAGCTCACGCAACCCACAATTCCTCTATTCGCTCTGATGAAGGGCTAACGCTCGAAACGTCAGCTTTTATAATCGTAACGGTGGCCAATTTACCATTTCAAATTTGTTGATATGAAATAAACAATTCCTAATATAAGAGAAAAATCGAGTTTGGAAACTCGATTTTTCTCTTAAATTTGTTGATATATTCAAATTATTTCGTTACCCCCACCGTCGCAGCCCCAAACAGTTTCTTTAGAAACTATCAGCCTTGCTCCATTCCAAGGGTTGTACAAAGGCAAAAGACCTGGGACTGTTATAGACTTATTTGACGACGTGCTAATAGACGACGAAGATGCTAAAAAATTTCAAGCAACGTTCGAGCCTCTAGAATGGGAAAAAATAACAAGACCTTCGTGCCAACATCCTTATGTGTAAAGTTCCCGAGAGGGGAGTTTTTTTAAGGAGAGAAAATACAAGCTTGGGATGGGCAGAAGTGTTACTATTTATTCACCTTCGCCTTCTCAATCGACCAATTAACTTTCATAGAAGTAAAGAACAAACAGTCTGTCAAATTTATAAATAAATACATAAATGAATAAAGAACTTTAAGGCTAAGGCCTTTACAATCTAAAATGTTACTGTGTGCTATATTAAAATCAAACACTAAAACAATGCAAAGTGTGATAAGATATGGGGAACAAAGAACTACTTCAATAAAAGGGTGCTGCGTCGGTGGGACCCCTCTACTAACTATGGTGGGACTAACATGGTAATTTTGGTTTTATCACCTGGGTTGATAATGCATACTGGCCATCGTAAAAAGTTTACAAGCTGACGTTTCGGAGCGTTAGCCCTTCGTCAGAGCGAAAGGGTTAACGCACAGACTAAGGGCTAACGCTCAAAACGTTAAATTTTAACTCCTTACGGAGGCCAATTTACCTCGTCGACTCAGTTGATAAAACCAAAATTACCTTGCTTCATCCATAGACTGAAGTTACCATCTCGTTCATTTGTGTCAGTTATCTTAACAGTTTGCCAAGATTTCAAAGTTTTTGTAATATTTCCGTTTCCTTGGTTAATTACCCCATGGCCGCATTATTGAAGAAAGTAGGATAAATATTACACCACATATGCGCTGTGAAAGACATTTTTCTTTCACACCTTTTCACACCAAAGCGACCAAAGTCGATAGCTAACTTCTCCCTTTCATAATATTTTCACCAGGAAACACTCTACGAGGTAAATTTCACTGTCAACCCAATGCCTATAAAAATGTCAAAGCTTTAGATGCTAACATCTCTATCCATCTTCTCAATTCTCTTCTCTATACACTTTCCTTTAATACTGACAAGGAGAATTCGTTCAATGATCAAAGCTTTAGACGCTAACATCTGTATCCATCTTCTCAATTCTCTTCTCTA